TCAAACAGCAATCTCATACAGCATTTCAACAATCTGCATGGTGGCGAAAAAGCGCATAGCATGAACTGCATGAAGTCAAAGGCTCGGTTTAATACCAGTGGAACTATCCTAAAATTGTGCGGACCAGCAATTCAAAAACCTTTATTAGAAGCGTCATATTAAGTGGCAAAAAAAAAAAAAAAAAAAGAAAGAAAGAAAGAAACCTCACACGATCGCTGAAGAGATGATTAAACCTTCTGCTTTAATTATTGCTAAAACAGTTTTAGATTCGGAAGCACATAAAAAAATCCAACAGATTCCATTATCGAATGATATTATACGATCGCGAATACAAGATCTCAGTGAAGATATTTTAATGCAAGTAATTGAAGACATAAAAATCAGTCCACTAAAAATAAGCATGCAACTGGATGAGTCAACTGATGTTGATAATTGTAGCCAACTTTTGGTATTTGTCAGATATGTGAAGAAAAAAGAGGTGATAGAAGAATTTCTATTTTGTGAGCCACTGGAGGTGAATACGAGAGGAATTGATGTTTTCAATCGCATCAAAGATTTTTTTACTAAATATTAATTACCAATGAATGTGATTGGCTCAATATGCACTGATGGAGCCTCAGCAATGTTAGGCAAAAATTCAGGATTTTTTTTCACACATGAAAAGAGAATTACCGGAAGTTATAATAACGCATATCATGTTGCATCGTCATGCACTTGCGTCGAAAGCATTGCCAGAAAGTTTAAAACAACATCTAACTACAGCAGTAAATGTAGTAAAATACATCCGAGGGCGAGCGCTTATTAATCGCATTTTTCGTGCCTTTTGCGAAGAAATCAGTGCTGATCATACTGTGCTCCTATATCACGCCGAAATACGATGGTTATCTAAGGATCGCATGCTTAACAGAGTTTTTGAATTGCGTGAGGAAATTATTCAATTACTGACTAGTCAAAACTGTTATTTAGTAAAAGATTTTGAGAGTAATGATGCAATGCTGAAGCTGGCCTACTTAGCAGACATATTTAGCCATTTAAATGAATTGAATCTATCAATGCAAGGATTTGGTATAAATATAATAATATCTAGTGAAAAATTATCTTCATTTATCGCAAAATTAGAAATTTGGATACGTCGAGTAGAAAAGGGGAATTTTGCAAACTTTCCCTTGCTTGATTCTGTTCTTGCGAAAAATGAAAAGAACACAATTATATCCGACATTGTAATACATTTGAGACGATTGAGCGAATCATTCAATGGATATTTCTCTACCGGAAATATTACCAAAACTCAGAGATGGATCCTGGATCCATTTCTATTTGACTTAAATTTGATGGATGATAGTGATCTGAAAAATGATCAACTTATTGAAATGCGAGCAAGTGGACATGTTCAAATGGAATTCGAACAATTAGAATTGCAACAATTCTGGTGTTCACAGTTACAACGTTATCCAGAGTTGGCGAACGGAACACTGCAGTTACTCTTACCCTTTGCTACCACCTACTTGTGCGAAATGGGATTTTCATTCATCGCTTTTGCATATAAAAACTAAAGCGAGAAATCGCTTAAATGCAAGTGATGACTTACGCGTATGTCTTTCAAAAAGGAACCTCGCTTCGCCAGTATAATAATGAACAAACAACAACAGACTAGGCATTAATAAAAATAATATTGTTTTGTATTTATATAAAATGTACAATGTTTTTCAATAAACAATAAGTTTCGCAAAAAATGTATTTTCTAGACTAAAAAAATTAAAACACATTTTTCAATGGGGTGCGGAGATATATTTTCAGATTCAATGGGGTGCGACTCGCTAGAAAGGTTAAGAAACACTGTCTTAGAGCAACGTTTAAGCAGTTCAGCATAAAGAGAGTACGGGATGTTCGGCAAAAAAAGGGTATAGGCTTTAATTTCTTAAATAGCGATCCAAATACTCGTGTTTCCAATTCCAAAGTTTCTCGCAAAAGTAAAAATGCTTCTCCACGGCAGATGAGACGATTCTGTAAATATAAAATATAATTTTATACATAGCACTATGAAGGTAAGAAGTAAATGGAGTGGGCGTCATGCCCCTAATCGGATGCCAATTTTCCCCCGAAGGTCTCTACCTTTTAATGGCCCTTGTCCATTTTCTCACTGCAATGGGACTCTATGCACATCAACAATGCTTTCGACAATAATTTCGATTTTAATTCTATATAAATTCAAAGCGGTAAAATGGAAAACAAACAACCTCTCGAGAATACTTTCGGCTCGTCGCATGTTCAAAGTGCCCCTATGCCGCATAGAAACTATACATTTACAAACAATCATGCCTTCTTCGGGTTTCGAACTCGGGCCATTCGGCCCGGCAGTCAGCGATGCTAACCACTATCCCAGTTGGGCTGCAACCGTAAGTGTAATTCCAGTTTATGGACAGATTTATAATAGAAACAAATATGGGTACGGAAGACTTTTTTCCTATAAGATGTCGGTATTTTTCAATTGTAGTGGAACCTCTCATCAAGAATATATCAATTCATCAAGAAATTATCTAAATAAAAAACATCTTGGTTTACGAAAGGTATCTCGAATTAGGGACATTTGAGTCCACAACAAATGATTTGAGGTAACTTCTGATACAGAATTAACCCTTAAGAACTGTATGAAACATCATTTCAATATTTACGGTTGTTTATGCCTCATTCATAATGCCTGGCAATAAGTGACTTACACTGGATTCAGCCTGAAGGAAATTACTATTCGACTATGTTGCAGGCAGAAATTTTGGAGGCTCTGAATACTGAGGATGTTTGGTTATCAATGCTATTGTTCTATCTGCGTTATCTTTGATATCTATGACATTGTGCCTCCTAGACAAAACCATGGCCTGAGTAAGAAAGAAGAAACATAAAAGACGATGTCGCAGAAAACCACTTAGTTACCCGATAGTCTTATGGAAGGGGACTTCTCATCCTTTTTCCTTCCTCATCACTTTCCACTAACGCCATCTGATCTTCTTCGTACCAGTGCTGCAAAATTAAATTAAGTTTTCGTCTATTTTATGTTTAGTGCTCGGTTTATCTTTTTCCTTTCTTACATTTAGTGATTTCGGTTGGTCCTATGTCGTGAACCTGTTCACAAAATACTCATGTAACGTTTTAAATAAGCAATCATTTGATGTCCAGGAACGAATTAATCCACTTCATATTAATTCTTATGGGAAAAACAGCTTCAGTTTACGAATATTTCGGAGGCCGAAAGGACGAATGGCTTTTCAGGAAGGAATTAAAGTCGTGAACACCAAGGTCTCGCTGTATTTTGTAAAATCAAATCTTTAAAAAAAAAAAAAAAAAAAAAAAAAATTCCAGAGTGAAAATTTCAAGCGTATTAGAATTACTGATGAATTTTTTTTTTTTAATTCATACTTCTTTCTTTGCTAAGATTGATAAAATTGTTTGAAAAATTTCAGAGTAGCTCCACTTTTAAGACATACTAAAGACTTTTACTAAAGACTTTTTACTAAAGACTTATGAAAATTTAGTCATTAACACCTTAATAAAAAAAATAAAATTCATGCGAAGACAAGGAAAAGTTACGATACCCTATAATATTTGAAATTGGGATACTTAAAACGGAAATTAAGAAGTTTCGTAAGCTTTCGCAAAATAACTAACAAAAATAAAAATTTGTTTTAAAATTATCAGAAAGCAAAATGAAATCCTCCCCTAATTGTTTACATTACTGAATGAAGTCCTTGTTTCAAAAACATAATTTGGAGGAAAAGCGCATCCTACATGACTTAATGTAAACTATCTCGCATACATCTTAAACGGATAAAAATCTAACGTAGCTAATCCCTTCAAACTGCGGGGGTGTAGAACTCCGAAGAACTACCCGTGTGTTTAAGTTCGGCTACTACTAATTTTTAATTTTCGAATTTATGACAAAAGTTCAGTTATACAGTTTAATACTATATCTTCAGTGATTAAAAAAATATGTCTCGCTTTGAAATTATTCCATATACTCATCTCAGCTTTCCATACGTCTAAGTTGCAATAGCTTCGTAACCGAGTTTCGTAAAGTTGCTATTGAAAGCAATTTCGACGTTTCATACTAAAAGAATTTCCTTTTGTCATAAATTTGCTATCATGAAAGCAGTGTAACATATTTTATGGTAGGAGGGAGAAAAAGAAACATTTTTATTAATCGAAAAACACAGTTACTCAGAATATTGAAGTTTCTTTCAAAATTTCTGGAAACTTTCAATGAAATTGTTAATTTGATTGACTGATAAGGACAACGACCCTTACGCTCCTCTTAGTGTTACTGTGGTTACATAATGCATACGAAAAACAAGTCTTTGAATATTACCTGCATATTTTGACCCCAGACAGCTTTCAACAGTCAACCAACTGCCAACTGTAAATCAATAAAGTAATTACTCTAAAAGGTTTTGAAGAATGCTTTTTAGCGTTTCACAAATCCTCACTTAGCTCACGCAGTAAAGGAAAGTGAATTAAGCACGGAAAAAGCGGTTCACCTTTTCTGCATCCAAAATAAAGAGCCTTCGTTGAATCAAAACTTTTACATGCAGTTAAAAAAAGGGCTATTCAGTTTAAGCCATAAAGACACCAAGGTTGTTAATTATCTTAAAAATTATTAATAAACTTTTTTTCCTTCAGTAATATATTTCTCTTGTATCTGGGAGCTATATAATTTGCGGGTTTCTGTTTATGAAGACTGGCCGTGGTGTTTGCTTATTGCAATCTGTTGAATATCCAGTTTATGACGCCGTGGGTGGTTTTCTGATTTGAATCTACTTTCATGTAAGAAAACTGTGACGTAAGTGAACGTATTCCCCACCTTGTGGGCTGTTGTTCATCAAGGCCACATATTTAATGCCGGCTTGTTACTTTTTTCGCTGACAGCTTTCTCGGACACGGGCACTGACTCAGAACGGTACTCAACGTCACTTCCTGTAGTTTATATCCGGCCCTTGAGGCTGAAAGGTATTTCATTTGAAAGCCAGGGAGTTGGCAATTCCCTCCGCGTTGGCGCTGCTATACCTTGTTGCAGATTTGAAGTTAGAACAAACTGCCGCTTTTCCGCCTAGGTTGAGTGTTGTTCGCTGCTTGTGGTTTTGAGAGCTTTTCTTGGGAAAACATTCTGAAAGTAAGTTCACAATTTTATATTACTTTAGGCCTTAATTTTCATTAGCAATAAATGCCTCGCGCTTGATTTGAATTTTAAAAAATATATTTTTGGTTTAAATGAAAATAAAGATAGAGAAATAATTAGATTTTAGAGGAAAAAGTGGCCTCTCTATCTCCCCCCCCTTTTTTTTGTCAATAGCGATTAGTTTCGGTTTGCTGTGCTCTTTTGTTTATTAAAAAAAAAAAAAAAATTCCAAGCTTGTAAATTAGGTTTATTTTGTTTTTACAATGTTAAACTGTTTAGTTTCTTTTCGCTTTGTCTACTTGATTTCTCTTTATTAACAGTCTATGGTGCAATGAACGCAACAACGGAAAGTTTCTATTTGAATGGACACTGACCAGTAGCCGAGTTTAAACACACGGGTAGTTCGTCGGAGTTCTACACCCGGAGTTTGAAGGGATTAGCTACGTTAGATTTTTATCCGTTTAAGATGAATGCGAGATAGTTTACATTAAGTCATGTAGAATGTGCTTTTCCTCCAAATTATGTTTTTGAAACAAAGACTATATTCTGTAGTGTAAACAGAGAATGATTTTCTTTTGCTTTCTGATAATTTAAAAGAAATTTTTATTTTTATTGGTTCTTTACGAAAGCTTACGAAACTTCTTAATTTCCGTTTTAAGTATCCCAATCTCGATATTATAGGGTATCGTAACTTTTCCTTGTCTTCCCATAAAATTTATCAGATTTGAATTTAAAATCTTGTTGGTGGTCTAAGGAGACTAAAATCTTTCTTATATCTAAAGGCTTATAAATGTCCATTATTAATATTCACACTACTTCGGTCGTAAAACTCATCGCATACTCAGCACTTTTTACGGAAGCACTGCTGCAAAGAACCAGGTAAATGTAAATATAACAAAAAATCCCAATAACAGTCCAAACCTCACAAATGTGGTGTGCGCTCACAATGTAGCAACCATTCCTCTTGTGTTGTTCTCGCTTTCTGGCTACACGAGTGGTTAAGACCGCTGAGTACTGGTAATTCGACATGAGTTTGAATCCAAAACGAACGGGCTAACTGGATTTCGTGATTATATCAGCCAGTTTTCCCTAAAAAGGCCCTCCATGAAGGCATCCTAATCTTTAGGCAGATAGCCAGCCCACGTGTGCTTCTCAGGGCTGTGCAAATGTAATAATGAAATAAAGTTTATTTGTATTAAAAGAAATCTCTTTCAATAGTATTTACTTTACTCTTGTGCTAACTTTTACCGGCGTGGGTTTTTTTTCTGCTGACTTTAATTTGCCCTATGTATGATTAGCAAATTTTTATATATGCTTGCTTAATATCATGCTCTTTCTCCTAGTTTTCATTCATATACAGTAAGTATGTTTAAAAAGTCAAACTCGACTCGTATGCGAATAGATTCTTAGTTTTTTTTCCTGCTTAGTTTTTTTCTACTTAACTTTAGCTTAACTGTCTATAAATTTATCTTGCGTATGCTTAATGCCATGCTTTTTCTTGTTGTTTTAATTCAGATAAACTAAATATCATATTAAAGAAGATATATTTGACTTTGGTTTCAGCTGAATTTGAATATGCTTATCATGCCTTTTCTGCTTTCTGTTATCTGAGCTTGGCGCTGAGTATTATATTTTTGTGTGCCTAACAAATAACTTTTATTTAATAATTATTCTTAAAACGACTGTCCGTTAGCCATTGACAGCTTGGTGAGCAAAAAATACTGTTGGCAATAATTTCTTGCGGTAGTAAATCTCATTTTATTTATAGAAACTTCATATTATGTTAAACTAAAAATTCATTTTTTTATCCTCTATATTTTTGGGCAGAAATCTTGAGATTGCCTTGAAATGATATATTTCAGATATATATTCACAGGCACACAGAAAAGTTTTTCTTATTCTTATAATCCCTTCGAATTTCGATCCCGATAGTTATATTTATCAGTAAGTTTAAATGAACTTGTTTTTATTCTAGAAAAGGCTCGTAGCGACCATATTGTTTCAGTTGTTTGCTAACTGGATGAAGATAATACGCTAAACTGGATGAAGATAATATTTTGACCAGGCAGAAGGAACCTTGAACGCCTTTTAACACGTTACTGTTACCAGCAAAAATAGCATATGTAAATTGTTTGATTAGTTTGGCGCCAGTGAACCCCGCCCCTTGCTCGAATGCTGTAGCGGCCCTTGCTGTGTGATAGTTTCGAGTCTTAACAGCCTGAAATAAAAATTATCATACACCTTCTTGAAATGGTGCCCTTCACGTTTAGGTGCCTTTGTGTGCTGCCATAATCTAAACACCCTCACGAGGCGGCCTTGTTCAAAATCACATCTGGTACCAAATTAAACATGTGAATTTTCGAAAGAATAATTTACTAACTACCGAATATCTAAAACACGAAACCCTGGTACTTCTCCCCGAATTCACTCGTGAGATTTTTTTCTTTCCGAGCATTTAAAAAGGTCGCCATCGCGTGATTTGCCGTATTTGCCTGTCTGTATACTTTGCTTCTTATTTGCTATAAAACTCTCATTCTGTTTCCTTAGAAATTCCTCCATGAAAGCATAATCTCCATCGATAGGCGGATAGTCCTAGTGCTCTTATAATTAACTATAGCTGAAGTATCCGTTCCACGCTCGGCTGGCTTTTAAGAACATGATTTAACCCTTTATTTGGCACGGATGCTGAGAAGCTACACAGGAAATTTGCGAATTAAAGGGTAAAGTAAACAACAAAAACTCTCTAAACGTATTGTCGACACGAAAGGCACAGCCTAAACGCAAAAATTAACACAGAGGGCATAAAAAAAGTGTAATCGGGGAAAATAACAAAGTGGACGTTTCCGGTTGTCTTCTTTGGAAGCTAGTACAGTCACCCTCTTTTCCTCCCTGTTACTCTTCCACCTCACTCCAGCATCCCTACAGCGTCCAATACCTGCATCTAATGCGTTATATTAGATATATTTGAATCCTGTTAAATGTTAATTTGAAATTTCTTCATTATTATGTTTGATACACTCAAATAAGTTATGGAAACTGAGCAAAAGTAGTTTAGAGCTTTTGAACTGCCTTTCACCGAGTATAAGATTTTTCGAATATTCCTGTTTCAGTTAGATTAGACGAGAAAACTTCACAAGCTACTAAAATCCTCTCATCAAAGTACTTCTCGAAATCTTTATTATAGAAAGCAACAAAGACGTATCTCAAATGGAAATCGATTTTTATGGGTTGATGTATTTCTAATATTGTGTATTTTGACAAGGAAATGTTCGGTCGATAATGAATCGAATAAGCAAGAGGAGGGAACGGTCCAGTGGTTGTTCATTGTTCTAACTTCATTGTTTTATTCCTAGAAAAAGAGGCCTGAGGAAGGATTTCCATTTCATATACAAAATATGTTCTCTAGATCCGTTTTCAAAAACCATCTGCTAAATGAGGCCAATATAATGAAAGTATCCCTCCCGTTTACCAGTAAAAATAGCTTATCTACTCTTTCAGGCAGAAGCGAAGCTAGAGTTTTTGCCGCCTTCTCATTGCACATAAAACGTTGTCTATAAAACGTTAAAACGGTACTTTTCCGTTTTGCCGGCGCAAACGATAAAGTCGCCAATAATGGTACAACAGATTGCCAAACCGAACATCTTCGCTGATAACCTTTTACGCCTCACTTTCAAAACAAGTCGCAGCCATTTCTTACCAGATTGATTTTTTTTCAATACTGGCATACAATTACATAGAAAGTTACAAAAACAATTAAATTTTATGCCCTAAAACCATTCGCGATAATTAAGTCAATTAGGATGCAATCACACCGCTCACCCCAAGGCGAAAATATAGAAAAGGCAAAATCAAGGGTTATATTCATCAATTCGAATGAGAATGCACTAGCGAAGTAAAACACTGCAATTTGACATAATTTCTGAGTAAGCTATTCGTACGAATTGAAATAATTCTTGCATTTAAACTTGTATTCCAAATTAAGCTGTAACTTAAAATTAACTTAAAATTAATAACTTAAAATAAATTTGTAGATAATTACTGAGAGAATTAGATTTTGTAGCGTAATTTACGTGAGATTACATTACTTGGGGTCACGTGATATGAAGCAGAGAATCAGGACGTTGAATCATGAAAGCATGGTAAAGTAAATTCTTAAATTAATGTCTTTTTGCAAATTTATTGTCTTTATTTATTGGTTTTTTTACAAAAGTTTAAACGATATTAAAATTTTCATGCCTTCAAAATAAAAAATTCTTAGAACTAACATTTGTTAATTTTATGTGTATACTGTATGTTGTCGCCAACAAAGTCTGCTTGGCGATATTTGCGCCGGCGAAACGGAAAAGTACCGTTAAAACTACAGGAAAATAAGCTTTGTATTGATTTTTGAAATAAGACTTTAATTATAGCATTTTAAAGTGCTATAGAAGCTTTTCTCTCTTACGAACAACATATTTATTAAATACAAGATACTCATTTTTAGGTCTCGGGTGTTTTAAATCGAGTTTTTATCTAGAAAAATTACTCAAACGATTCGAAGTAGAATTATAATATTTAGAATTTCATTTTAAAAGACTGCGTTTTAAAATAAATTGTGTTGTTGTTGCTTCCAGTCTCGCTTGCCTGACAAAAGTCAGTACAAGCCCTCGATATTCATCCTAGCAAGGAGCTACGATGAATATTGTTTACAGCCTCACTTTAACTCAGTTAGCCCCCAATTTTGAGAGACAGCAGCGTTAGGAGACCATTCCGGGGGTCTTCCACCCGACTTACCCTCTCGAGAGAACTTTCGGCTCGCCTCATATTTTGAGTGCCTCCATGCTGCACGCATCCCTTAAAATCAATGCTTTGTGCGTTGTGGGATTACAAATAGTTTACTGTAAATTGGTGTTGCCACCAAATCGGACAATAAATTTGGAAAACCTCTGCTCCCAAAATTATGTTTGGATTGATCTTTTCTATAATGTAATTCTGCTCCCAAATAGCAGTTTTAC